CAATTATTTTTTTTAATCAAAGTCTGTGGGTTGTACTTGATTAATAGTGTCAGTAATTGTAAAAAACTATAAGAAATATATTGACCATTAGACCAAGCTAGAGTTCTTTGATCAGAATTAGTACTCTTACTTAGAGTTCTTGGATTATATAAGTCCTATATGTATCAAATGCACAGATTTGAACATTAAAAATTGTTTATTGTTTTATCTTGAAGGAACTCAATGGTTATTGCTAATTCTTAGCTATAGTAATCTTCATTTGAGTTAAAAAACAACAATGGCTTGTGAGGAAGGATTTGAAGTTATAAATATGGTGCCAGAGGAACTACCAGTTACCTTGGAAAATGGTGTCGTGATAGTTGACTTGACATCATATGATCCAGTAACCCAAGAAGAGTTTCCTCAATTCTCAAGTGTTAAGGATCTTCAAGACTTGAGATTCTTCTCCAAGTACCTTAAGCAAATTCCTGAACAGTTTTTTGAGATCAACCAAGAGCTTAAATCTCTGTTTATGTGTTGTAGCACCATCAAACCTGACAATGGCCTTTCACAATTGCCAACACGTTTTAACTGCTTTTCTCACCTGGAAGAGCTTCATTTGGTTGGAAATCACTTTGAGGGATTCCCTTTACCTATTTGTAACCTTGGTAATGTCAAGACACTGTATATGGATAACTGTACTCTCACAAAGATTCCCAAAGAAATTGAGAACATGTCAAGTCTTGTTATGGTGGACTTCAGCTACAACAGTTTTGGGAGTCCTGACAGTTTACCAAAAGAATTTTTCCATTTACCAAATGTCAAGGATTTATACTTAATAGACTGTCAGTTGAATGAGCTTCCCTCAGATATTGGAGGATTAAGGAACCTAGAAGGCTTAAGAATTGGAAAGAATCACCTTACCAAGCTTCCAGATGAACTATTTGATTTGCCTAAACTCAGCAAACTCAGTGTTGAAGGAAACAGGATATCAGAGTTATCCCCAAACATTGGCCAGCTTCAGTCTTTGAAGCTTCTCTTGATTATGGAGAACAAGCTGACCACTTTGCCAGAAGAAGTAAAAAATTTATCAAACTGCATCCATATCAATTTATTTGATAACAAACTAACATGTCTTCCGCGCTCTATTACTGAAATGCCAAAGCTGGAATCTTTAATAGTGGATGGGAACAACAATCTTCGCCGTCCACCTCTGGATGTCTGCTCTTGCGGCCTTGATAGCATTAAGGGCTATTTTGAATCCTTAGATGCTCAGGATGTCAATACAATGACTGTTAATTCACCACGTCTGAAGGTTGTCCTTTTGGGAGAATCAGGGGCTGGAAAGTCGAGTCTTGCTCATGCTCTTGTTCATGCAAAAGCACTTCAGCACCCAGATAATGAAGCACACAGTACAGTGGGAGTGGATTTCTTCACCTGGCGACCACATCCTAATGTCATAGAATTTCATATTGTGGATTGTGCAGGGCAGAGGCGATATCAGTTGACACATCCATTTTTTTTGTCTACAGGTAAAGATACTTACTATCCATTATTTTAAGTTTTAGATATTATTCATCCTGAGAAAAGTTTCAGTCTTTATTTTCACCACTGCCTATTAGTACCATAAAAACTTGCGGATAAGCCGCATCTT